AGAAACAACAACACCACAACATCAGCCTCCTCCACTCCGTCAGACCTCCGTGTTGTGGAGCAGCAGTGCTCCTCTTCCAAACAGCAACAACAAGAAGGAGACACCAGAAAACTTCAACAGCTGATTTCAAAAATAAAACCAGGCGTAGTTGTGGAGTGATCCCCGCTCCTCCTCCTCCGCTCAGTTCCTCCTCGAAGACTCCCGGAGAGGTAACTTTACTCTACGCACCTGTCCTCCTCCTCCTCTCCTGTCCTCCTCCTCCTTCTCCTCCTCCGCGGTGACATCAGCGACTCAGTCCTTGGAAACGGGAAAACATACCCGGCTCTGCTGCGAGCCGGGCCGCGGATCTGATCCCTTCACAGCGGCGTGGTTCCCCCGGCTCCTGGTTCTCCGTTGCGCGCCGTGCGCCCTGCGTCTCCGGTGGCACCGCGCGGGAGGGCTTCTCTTCCCGCTGGAAACTACGCAGCAACAAGCAGCAGACGAGATCCGCTCAGGCATCGCTCCATAACTTTTTTTTTTTTTTTTTTAAAGATCTTTTTCCGTGTTGCTTCCTTGACTGCAGGGGGTTCTGTCCAATCAGAGGCCGGAGGAGGGACCTTCAGCCTTGCGATTGAACCAATGGAGACGAGGAAGAGGCGGGTCTCTGGTGATTTGGAAGCGCTGGATTTTGTTTCCACGGTTGTGTTGAGGAAGGCGGAGTTTTGGTTTGTGGTAAAATTGGGGACATTTTGAGTTTTGAATTTTTATTTCCCAGTAATGCAACAGGCCGCAGGTGATCCATGGTGACTGTGGAGCTGCTCCTGTGCAGGAGAAGTGTCCTGCTCTCCTCCTCTGAGGCCGAGGCGACACGTTGGACTAGATTCCCTGCACAATCCTGCCCTCGTGTGTTTGTATTCGATGATGGCATCTTATTCCTGCACCAGATTCCACTCTGCTCCTCCAACATCTTGTTTCCCAGGATGCACTACAGCACGTGGCATTATATCACTTGGCCTGTCTACTGGGTTTTAGAATAGATTTTAAAAATGGTATCATCACATACCCTCTGCCTGTAATCTTCATTCTGCAAACCAGTGCTCAGAGCAACACAAGAGACAGAGGAAGTGATTCTTCTGTTCAGAATCAGTTTTTTTTTAAAAAATGTATGTTTTAATGCTTTATTTTGTTATTTTTAATATTGCGTTTGACCAGATGTTGGTTTGTTTCATTGCTTTATCCATTCTCTTGCATTAACTTGTTCAAATTTTGTAATTGCACTGCATGTATTTTCAGTTTTTATGTCTGTGAAGCACTTTGTAAACTTTTTGAATTGAATGAATAAAGATTGTTGTTGTTGTTGTTGTCATTGCTGATTCAATGAATGAAGCAAAATCCAAAATGTAGAACAGAGGTCACACGGGAGGACGAGAGAAGAGATCTTAGACTTTGTTCCAAACTTTATTTTTTTTATCTGTCACGTTTTCACCAGCTGCGACAAAGATTTCCTCACAAAAGACACAGCGATGCACAAATTGGTGTATTGTGTTTTAAATACAATAGTTTTTTAAGTACACACTTTTGTACTTTTGAAGAACCCATTACATTATCCCAGACAAACGGGCGGATCCAGGAATCACTTTCTTTATAGCTTCATTCATGGATCTTGAGAAAGAAATCAAATGTGTGTGTGTGACATTTGGAGAGGCTTGATTTAATGTAAGGGGGCCTTAAGTGGAGGTGTGTGTGACGGTGTCTTTTTACTTCTGTCTTACTTTATATTTTCAGTTTTCTAATGAGCCAAATTTCCCAGAAATATCCACATGAAATCAGCTCTTTATAACAAATAACAATCACAGTTTCTTCATTTAGCGGTAGGGGCTGCAGGAGGTGTGAGCACAGCACCTGTTTCTGTTATCGCTCCTGTTGATTTGTTAATGATCCACCGTCGGTCAACATCTCAGCTCACCACAGCGGTCAGCGCCCTCGCACACAGACCCAGCTGAGCTCATTTTCTAAAAGCAGTTGATAACAGCTTTGTTGTCGTTCCACCTCTCTGCTGCTGTTAACATCTTTATGATGTATCACGTTGTTGGAAATGTGTAATCTCTCCATCAAGAGGGCATCAGGTGACAGGTAGGAAAACTTAAAGTCATTTGGAGCCATTACTCTTTTATTTTTCAGTTCTATTCAGGACAGTTGTTTTCCGTCCACAGGGACAAACCTTTGAATTCCCTCTGTTGATATGATCCAATAATTCTCTCACACGTGAGAAATGTCAGCTGCTCCTCATGGATGTGGACACATCATGTGGCAACGACACCTCGCTCCCCATGTGCTGTGAGTTTCACATGCTCCAAAACGTATACGTTCCAAATTGTGATTCCCCCCCCTTCACTTTTCTCTGAACCTGCTCCTTCTCTCTCCTGTGGTGTAGCTGAGGAGTCGTCGGGTCCACTTGCTGTGATCATCATCCCGTCTCTGTTGGCTCTCAGCACGGTTTTAGTGGTGATCCTGATTTTCTACAGTCTCCACAAGAACAAGCAAAGAGGACAGAGCCCCTCAGATGGTATAAACTGCAATACCTTCATTGCCTCTCTTCATAAAACACAACGTTATTCTAAATGAATCCCTGAGAGCAATGCCTATAGGTCGTATGTATCTAATTCCTCAGCCTTGACTTTGTTTTTCTTACAGGCCGGCAGAGTGTAACGCTCAGTGCAGCTTCTGTAAACGCTCCAAAGGCCCGGCAGGATTTGTGTCCTTGGGAAATCCCCGAGGAGTGTGTCCTGGAGGGACTTGAGTTTTGGCAGACGGGCCGCTATGGCCCCATTTGTAAAGCTCAGCTGAAGAGGAGAGACGGTCCCTCCTCGGCCGTGGTGGTGAAGTCTCTTCGAGGTACAGCCTGAACCTGGGTGATCAGAGTAGATGGTGTTGTGTGAAGAGGTCGCTGGAAGTTATCCTGTAATTCTGTTATTTGTTTAAAGGTCCATTGTGAATATTTAGGTGAAAGAGATGTTTTTTATTGGATATAAAATAATCCAAGTGATGTTTCGACTAATGTTCCATCTTAATTGTTGTTTTCTTTACCCTAGAATGGGCCCGCTATATTTAAATACTTTATATTTTCATCAGGAGAATAGGAAGACTACCACAGGTTATGTTTCCTGTTTGGAATGGGAGGGTGGTGTGAGGGGTGTTCAGCTGCAACATGACACTCCACCACTAGATGTCACTAAATTCTACACTGAACCTTTAACTCGGTACAGACGGGCCCAACCAACCTGAGGCGAAGGAGTTTGTGAAGTGGCTCCTGTTCCATGCCACAGTGTGTAAACATGACAATGTGGTGCGGATGTTGTTCTGTCAGACCAGACGTCTGCCCATGTATCTGCTCTTAGACGCCTACAGCCCAGGGAACCTCCTTCTCTTCCTGTGGACGCTCAGAAATGTAACGTCACTACACAAGCGCTGGACATAACCTGAACTTTAAATAAGATCAAACGTGCAAATGACGATAAATGTTTCCTCCCTCTAGCAGAACTCAGAAATGGCAGATCCATCGCAGAACGTCTCCGAGAGGTCGGTGTTTCTGGTGGCAAAGCAGGTTGCTGCTGGCTTGGTGAGTCACTTTGTGCAGACCAATTATTTCCCCACAAACAATTTGACTAAAATTAGCTCAATTTAGACGCCGGGCTCGGCTGAAGATGTCAGTCTGTACCGCAGCAGGTCACGATGAGCTTATCGTCTTTCCCCATCTGGAAAAGTGTTGTCGATCTTGAATTTTTAATGAATCTTTAACCCAGAGATTGATGTGTTTGTCTGCGATTGATTCCTCCCTCAGGATTACCTGATGTCGGAGCACAGGCTGGTGCATGGTGATGTGGCTGCCAGGAACATCTTAATTGGCCCTGGCCTATCCGCCCGGGTGTCTGGACTGGGTGTAGCGTTTGAAGGTCGCAAAATGGATTCAGCATTTAGGCCGAGGGCGGCAGAGGTGCCTCTCAAATGGCAGGCTCCGGAGAGGATTACAACACAGCTCAGTATCGACAGGAGTGATGTGTAAGTTCTGGCGAAGAAAACAAAACACGAAAAAGTCCTAGAATGCAGAATTAGTTCATATTCTCTTCTCTCTACAGGTGGTCATTTGGGATCTTACTGTATGAACTGGTGACTTTAGGTAAAGCACCATCTCCTGTTATCTATCAACAAATGATCTTATCCTTCTTCACGTCTTTTCAGATGAGTGTATTTTAAAGTCTCGTCTTCTTGGTTCTATCCCAGGCTCTCCTCCCTACCCAGAGCTAGAGCCGCAGTCTGTGCTTCCAAAGCTGCAGGCGTCTTATCGAATGCAGAGGCCTGGGAATTGTGGAGGACCTTTGTAAGTAAACTACTAAAAATAATTGGTTCTTCTTAGCATGGACAACCAGAGTGACGCGCAGTAGAGTGGCTCCCATCTCACAATACTAAAGAAAGTGATCCCAGATCTATCACGATCTGTGCCAAAATCTGTAACTGTACAGCTGCTCAAAAAGCCCATGAAACCACATTACATCCACTAGACCAGCCCCCTTAAAGATCCATGAGGTATTCTCTGTGATAATTCTTCATTGAAGAAGCTTGTTGGTGGATTTTCTTTCAGCCTCCTCCCCCTCCACGTTCAAACCTTTACAGAAAATGATTGTCTGTACGTACCAAGATGTCAAACCATCCCTCTGTGTGTATTCTTCTAGGTACGATCTGATGAAGTACTGCTGGATGTGGAGCTTCAAAGACCGACCTGCGTTCTCCGCCATCATCAAGCTGCTGGAGTCCTCCCTGCACTTTGCAGACGTTAAACCTCTTCATGTTCCTGAGGTCATAGATGTGTTTGACTATAACAGAAAGGCAGGACTATCCACGTAGTCCATATATTTACTCAGGATGCAACATAGACTTTAAATAAAGATGGACGACAGCATCTCTACCTTCTCCCACAAAAATGAAGCCAACATAACCCAGATATGCATCATCTGGAGCCAGAGCCTGTGCAGCAGTGGTCGTCATGTGGAGCTACAGTATTGCAGTCCCGCCGCTACACGTGTTTCGATCAATCACGAGTCAGTATCAGTTGTTAATCAGGATGTTTCACCCTGTTTTATAACCATCTTGGAGAGTTTGGGCCATGACCTTTAATGTAACCAGCCACCAGGGGGCAAAAAAGATGACAGCTTCACTTTTTGGGAGCTGTCGTCCATCTATACTCTTTGTTCTTCAGTATTATGTCTTCCATTGAATTTAAACCCTGCAAGTCCTCCAGCACACGAAAAATAATGCATTGAAATAAAAACACTGACAGCAAGTTATTTCAATTTCCCCTTTATTGTCAAAAAAAGTACACACTTGAAAGCACAGATCTCATCATTCATCCAGATCTATGTTCTTCTTTCGAATCATTGGGCAAAGTACAGGTTTTGTATCTCAAATGCTCTCGGCATGCATACGTCAATGTGACTTTACAGTTTGAAAACCAAAACACACACACACACACACACACACAGGAAAGCTGAATGCACTCGTGAATGAACTAGAGTAGATTTAAGTTCAGTCTGTGTATGAACGGTAATCATGAACCAAATCAAGAGCCAGGGTGGGTTTAAACCCATATCTGAATCAGAGGTCATGACCTTTTGTATTGATGTTTTTAAAATGTAGGTCTTGATTCATGACATTCTGCTCCGTCTGTTCAGTTTTCCCTCAGAAGAGTTTGGAGTTTTTGCTTATACAAGTTACAAATGGATAAAAATCACAAGAAATCAAATTGTGAATAACGCCCTTCCCTTTATTCTGACAGCTGTGAGTAGGTGTAATTTAAATATGGGGGATGAGAACAGATAAATCATCTTGTTTTTCGATCATGCTTCTGAAAAAATCCCTTCAAATCTATGTAATCTCCCCATTTGTCGCACACACGTATACAGGGAGGGAGAAATACACCAGATGTAAGACACAAAGTTGTTCTCGCTTGAAAAGGACTGACAAAAAATACTGAGTTCAGGTCAAGTTAAAGAGGAATTTAAAGTCTGGCTGCACATTTCACACAGACTGTCGTGCTACAAAAATATCTTTGAGATGTTATCCATAACCACTAGATGGCAGGATTGACAGTCTGTGTTGTTGCTCTTTATATATTCAGTGTGTAGAATCTGGTGACATCAAGTGTTGAAGTTACATGTTGCAGGGTAAAGAAAAACCACAACCAGTACAATTTAGATGAAACACACGAGTGAAAACATCACAACGATTATTTTAAATTCAATTTCTGTAAATAGATCCCTTTCACCTAAATCTTGGACCTTTAATCTCGTGCGGAAGAAAACGTCTGCAGCCGAGATATTTATGATTTTCAGCATCTACTCAGGGTGCATTTCTGACTCTTCTATCACACCATGTCATGGACAGACTCACAACTTGGTGAAAATGGAAGAAAACAAGAACCCTGATTAACAAAAGCTGGAGTTGGAGTACGCTCGCTTTCACGTCAACTGTTTTAAAACGTGCATTCAAACTGCAAATGGAATAAAAACGATAACAGAAGAGAGTGGATCTCTCCCATGGTCCAAAGACATTAAGGTGTGCGATACAGATTTTAACGACACACCATGAGCTGAATACCATGAAAGCAAATTGACCCCAACCATGAACCACAAACGTTGACCGATGTCACAGGTGCTGTGCGTGTGTTCATTACTGTGTTATAGATAAGAGAGACAGGGCACGCAGTCTAGAATCTCAAAAAATGCTGCTGAGAAATAAAACTCGTGGATTAAAGGTCTTGTCTGCATAGTGCAGCACATGGACAGTTAACTCACAACTCTACGCTCAAACACCGTGGAAATCCTATTAGTGGTTGTGATGTCTCGCGTGGTTGCCAAACTAAATATAAAAAATATATGAGAAAAGTATGCAATCATTTCATCTGAAATTTTACCCATCGACGAAAGATTGGATTAACACTGAAGCAGGGAGATTACAAGCTGCACACTCACGACTCATAACTCCCCGTCATCCAGGTTCTGTCTCATCAAATTAAAGGTCAAATAGAGCAAGTGTTAGCCTGCATGAGCATGTTCAGCTTGAATCCTCCATGGCGGTGGGGAGCAGCAACAGTCCGGAAGAACTAAATTCAACCAGATAGGCCGGAGGTGAACCTACTGCGAGTTGTCGACCAGTCCCCCCCTATTCCTACACTTTACTGCTCCAAAGGGAAGTCGGGAACAAAACGTAGGAGAAACACCAGAGCAGATAGTACACGCACATGGGGGGGGATGACGAGCAGAACAGCATGACGACTCCTGAGAATAAAAAGTAAGAAGAAAGTAAAAGTTAAATGGGATCAATCAAATCATCAGCTGATTGTATTTTCGGTTTGTAGGACTGTGCAGGGGGCGATGAAGGATTACTTATGAAAATTATGAAATTATATTGTTGCAGCCAAATTAAATTCAATTGAAGTCAATGGAACCTCTTCTTCAGACGTAGTAAAACAACATGTCATGCCTCCATACTGTTTGATTGGTGTCATCCAAATGTCCGAAAGCCCCGACATTCATAATCGACTTGAAACGGCGTAATTTACACTAAGTTTTAAGCCTAGTGGCTCAAAACTGTTGAACCAGTTGACCTCTGTGGGTTACTGCGTATTTACTGTGTATTTCATGATGCTTTACCCAGTACAAATGAAAATGTATTCATCTTTATTGTTTGCAGTTGGTGGCAGGAGATTCAGAGACAGTTATGTTTTCATAAAAACCATCTACATTAAAAAAAACACTTATAGGGACAGTTTTTGAAAATGGCTCCATACCTCCAGCGTAAACAACTTTTTTCCAGGCCTGCGACTCCAGCACTTTGTCATGGGGGTAGAAGTTCTGATTGATCATGAAGAGGATCATGGCGACGACCACGATGCGCAGCACGGCCATGTTTCCCCCCGACAGCATCGTGGCACAGGTGAGGATGGCTGAGGCGTAAGTGCAGGGCAGGCCGCGGTACATAAACGGGATTCCTGAGTTCGCAAACAAAAACAAATCCACAGTAAGTCATTTAAATATTATCGACACAACGATCACACTTGTTGATAAGATTTGACTCTTCAGTTGTATTGTTGAGGAGTTTATGTTAATCCTCACACATGCATACTGTATATGCCACTATATACCGTATTATGTATATATAGTGTGTATTACATTATATCTGTACAGACACTCCCTTCTCAGTACCCAAGGTCAGGTTATAGATTAAGGACCAACCATCAGTGCATTGTAGTGTCTACGCTTGGAGACTTTCAAATCTACCTCAGATGCCCAAGACAGAGAGGCAGCGTTTGTTTATTGTTTCACCTTCTGGTCTCCTTAATGCATCAAGTCTACATTACAATCCTCTGCATAAGACATCAGCTGCTGCCAGAGTTCTCCTTTCACCAGCTTCCAGAAAACTTCCAGAACAAGTTCGCGTCACGAACAGGATCTCAACACAGCGATGATACGGTAAACTGCAAATGTGAAGTTATTCTTAAGATTTGATTTACCGTGTCAGAGCTTGAGGAGATCATAGAGAAAACGTGAACATTTCTGCTATTTGGACTGTAAATCAAAGGCAAGTCTGTGTGTGCAGGGCAGCCTGTCGTTTCTTTCTTAGAAGACTGGTCACATGCCCAACGAGAGTCAAATCGAAACTGAATGAGCAGAAATTCAAGGAAGTGAACTTAGCTGTAGTGAAAACTGTATATTTATAATATCATGATGCACTGTACTTGTGTGCCAAGTCTGTACTAAATGTGTTTACCAGTGCTTGGTTGGTTTCCGGGGCGACTTCGGGTCGCAGCCGGCACCGGCAAAAGCCGCCACCTGGTTACACCCTAACTTTGGTGTAATCAGCAGTTTGGTGAGGAGCCTGTGTCCATCGGGAAAGATAAGAAAAAGACTGTGGTGCGTTAATTGAACCCCACAGCCCCCAAAAGGAAGGGATGTTCCCGGGGCGGCTTTGGGGCTGCACTCGACACAGGGGGACTCACCTGAAGTTTAAACTATAGAAAATATGTTTTTGAAGCAGTGCGAAGAGGCCTCTGTCGTTTAAATCAATAACGGGGATTATCTACTCTGTGTTCTTTGGGAAAAGTAGAGCCTCTGTTCGGAATCCTTTAAGTTTGCCACTGATGATGTAGTAAAGCAAAGTGTGACTGTGGAAGCTCTGATGCTGCAGCAGGGTTTCATGATAAGCATAAGCAAATGTTTTTATTTTTTAAATTGATGTTAAGATGCCAACAAGGGAAATAATCAGTCCACGGCCGAGGTTAAAACTAAACTGTGAACACTTTGTTTAAAAAAAAAGCAAAAGTGTCCAGTACAGTAAATCAGTCCACCAGTGATAAACAGGCAAAACAAAGTGCCTGGTCCGCAGCAATGTTTTGCTCCAGAATGCCAGCTGGAGTCACAGGCAGATAAAAAGATAGACTTCAAGAATGTTGTGTCTGTTACTGCGCTCCTGTGTGAGTGGACTGATGGAGAATGGCCAGTGGCTAATGGGTTAGTTACTTGCCTTCTGGCAAAAGCACAAAGTCGCAACCATTTACAGTGATTCTAGATAAGATGCTGGTGTTGATTTAAGTAAAGTAAATAGTTAAGAGGTTGGCCAGTCTGTCTGTGATCCCTTTTGTTTCTGTTCCTCCAGAAAACGTCCATAACAGATATAATTTGCATGGCTTATAAAATATACGGTTAGCACTACATTTGGGAATTTACCAGTTGAGTAGAAACAGAGGCGGACGAACACTGACAGGACGTAGCACACACAAAGGATGTTGTCCAGCAGGCCAGATGTCCTCAAGAGCAGTGACGTGGCGATTCCAAAGGTTGTGAAGTCAGCAAAATCATCCAGCTTCGCACCTGAGCATGAAAAAGAATATTTGAATACATGAATGTTACTTTGAGAATTATGACACCATTCAAGTGCCTCAGTCAGAGATGTTTACATTAAAAGGGTAGATACTGTGTGTTATCTCCTCTGTATGGTCCCTGCTGATGTCACCATCACATGACACCAACGTGGAGCGTGTATGTGCAAAAAAAAAAATTCCAAGTGGAAATTTCAGCGTCAGCCCGACAGCCAGTCATTCAATAAACAACATTCTCCGCTGCCTCGTCTCTTTATCCCTCAGGAGCCCGGAGAATGTTTTCAGCGGATGAGGACGAGGTGATTCAGGCCACGGCTCAAACGAACGAGGTGGAATTCTAACAAGCCCAGGGGTCAACAATTTTAGAAATTTCAGATATGCAGAGAACTCAAAGCAACAGGGATAAAATAGACAATCGGAGCGTGATCCTGTGGAATTAGGCTGCTTAATCAGAAAGTGTTTGTTCATTTGACAAAAATACGTGGGGGGGCACAACAGCATTCACCTGCAAAGTCATGCAGAAAAACCTCGTCGGGACACAAAGAACAGAAATGTGCAGCTGACGAAAGTATTGTGGTGCACCTGGGAGCTATTTTGGGATTTTGAGAAAATGTGAAGCAGCTATTTGTGTCCTGATGACTATAGAACTAGCGCAGAGCCTGTTTTAAACCGACCTGGTAATAACTTTATTTGTTCTGAACAAGGATACAAAGTGCGTCACAACATACATGGCAAAAAAATTAATGGATAAAAAATAGATTCAAGGATTCAATCCAAACATTTTTTTGTGTTCTCTTGTTCTGTGTTGATGCGCTGTGCTGAGTCGTCCTTACTTTTTCAATATACTGTCCCTTTGTATTGTTTTTGTGATGGACGTTGTGATGCAGAGTGACATTTAAAAAAACTTTGTGTTCATCCTACCTGGTTTACCTGCAGTGAAGTTTTTAGCGTCAGTGTTTTGCATCGTCAACTGAATTATCCTTATTACTTTTAAAAGTGGTTGTGTTATTTCTTACATTTAGAGTTTAAAGCATAGCAGCAACAAAATGAGATATATTCTATGACTATGTATCCATGACAACGGTGTCTCATTCCGATAGTATGATAGAAATACAAATAATCTAATTATCAAGCAGGTTTAACCCAGCTGTCGTCAGCTGCTGCAGTTTATCCGAGGACGTAGAGGAAGACTTGTTTTCAACTCGCTCCACAGAGTGAGGACACGCTGCCCCGCCCCCCACTACAGAGCACTGGTCGTGTGTATGAGTATTTGCTCGTTACATTCGTACCTAAACCCTACTAGTAACACCAAGTACAGAAACAACTCAACAGACTCTGAGTCGACAAGGCTCCAGTTACATCAAATAAAATATGTATGATTGTTCTCTCGGACACACCCAGAGTTTCCTTTTACTGCTTTACCCTCTTTGTTGAAGACTTAGCGAGGCCAAATAAGAATGTCCAGACAAAGCACTGAGCTGGAAGCTGTGCCAAGACCGCGGCTGGAGTTCTATTTCGGTAAGAGCTGGTGACCACAACACTGCACTTACCCAGCGCCGAGCAGGCATCCAGTCGCCTGGCAACTGCCCCATCAGCATAATCCAGCAGGTAGCCAATCAGAACCAGCCAACATGCAGCATGATGGTGCCTGGACAAACCAAGCAAGTGTTAGGTTTTGGCTTTTTCCGTGAGCGCAGCACAATTAAAAGGGTAAAATGTCGATAGTGGAACAGGGTTGAAACTTGTGCAAGTGGACAGCTGAGCTTGACTTGACATATCAGTACAATTGAATGATGGCGTGTTCGCTTACCCGTTGAGACTGCTGAGAATGGAGGCCATGCCCATGACCATGTTGGCGACGGACAGAGCGTTCGCTGCATTTTTACGGGCGAACTCCTTGATGTGGAGCCTGGCGGCCTGATCACTCAGAAAGAGCTTGTTGGTGCACTGGAAGAAACCTGAGACCACACAATGACAGCGGTCAGGAGCTGTCCCTGTCGGGTCAAAAACCCTGGCTGTGGTTTAAAAGCTAAATCCCTGTCTGTGACTCCCTGACCTTCTGATGAGTGAGTCTGAATGGGAACAGTCTAGTGATTATATCCCAGTTTGAGTCAGACTCCAGTTGAGGTGACAGGAAAATTTCTGAAAGTAATCATAAAGATATACCAGGATAGTAATGTTTTGTAAATCATCGTTCATTTTAACCAAATTATAACTATGAAGCTGAATCCCCGTCTTATGTAAAAGAAGTATCACTTACCAAGACGTATGTTCAATGGATGGAGACCAACCTTACGATACATTCATCCTTTCTCAGATCACTAAAATAAATTTGTTACTCTACATTCACTCAGCCTCCAGCATGCAACATTTAACACAGCCTCGCCTCATCAGTCTATGCAAAATTACACATAACTACTAGAAAAAATGGCCACACTCTCATGCATTAAACTTCAAATATCTAGATATTTGAAAGTAAAAATCTGAAAATGATGCATGTGAAGTGTTAGATCTCAAACGTGAACTTATCAGGGGTCAAATACACACAAACACTGGTGTGAGGGAACAAGCTGTGAACACTGAGGGGACTAACACATACACCACTGCCTACAGTGAGCTTGAACTGGACCTAATGCAGTGACACATACCAGACGTGAGATCAATTAGCCCGTTAACTCTGATCAAACCTAGTGACCTGAGACGAGGACCGGCAGCAGCACTCACAGCTATACTGTTCCCGTCAACACCACTGCAGCCCCGGATTTAAAGGGGATCTGTGGTGTGAAGATAAATCTGCAACCTCACCTGGTTTCAATGTCATTTTAACGTGATTTCAAAGTTACATCTTGAAAAGAAATCGTTTAACAGGACTTTTGTTTGCTTTAAAGGTCCAGTGTGTAGAGTTTAGTGACATCTAGTGGTGAGGTTGCATGTTGCAGCCGAATACCGCTCATCTCGTCGTCCCCTTCCAAACATGACAGAAAACCTTCGTTAGCCGCCAGTTGTCATAAAAACTCAATTACTGATGTGAATGTAAAGTATTTAAATATAAAAGGCCCAAAACAGCAATTAGTACAATTTAGTTAAAACATAATACTCCTAGTGAAAAAATCACTAGGAGTATTTTATATTCAATTTCGGCCAATAGATCCCTTTAAGCTAAATCTTACACACTGAACCTTTAAGTGCAAATTTGTAAAAGTTATAATTCTAACTTTAAAAAAGGATACATTCACTACGTCAGTCAGCAAGATGGAATGACTGCTGCCGCACTCCATCAAAACAATCTGCCTCCGCCCCCACGAGGCTGTGATGTTTTCTAAGTGTCGACATAGAAACCTTTGTTCCGTCCCCCGGTCTTGTGAGCTTTTTGATTTTCTCTCAAGTCTTGGTACTGCCCAAAGACATTTTATGCACAGACAATGACCTGCAAACTTCTTTTTTTTTCTAAACCTTGAGGAATAACAACCCTTCAAGTGTTTTTCACCCTGAACTTCCTGTGATTCCAAAGCCAGGCGAGTTCAGGGGACTCTTCATCTGAAAGAAAACAGCGTATGAGACACAGCAGAAAGCAAAAAATAACTCACACTTTGACTTGACAGCATGCTTTTAAAAAAAAAACTTGAATATTCTCAAATCGAAACAAAAACTTGACAATTTATGAAAATTATGTAACTGGAAAGTTATATACATGAATAATCAGGTTTGTTATTTTTTGTTATAGCCAATAATATTAAATCAACAGAGCCTCACAGAAGCTGTGAGGCTACCGAGCGTGCTGTCAAGTTTTACTCTGACCACTTTACAATCTGTCTTGGTCACTACTAAAACAAAAGAGGATAAAGCCAGAGACAAACTAACTTTTTTTTTCAATTTCTATTCAGGTCTCTATTTCTGGATTAATGCCTGAAGAGTGCAAAGCATGATGGGAAAGCTCTTGTTATGTAACACCCTGCTATGTTACCTGGTAACCAGACTAAGCGAAAGAAATCCACAACTGGGAAAATCAAAAGTGAACTTACAACACAGTTTAAACTATTTGTTTAAATGTTAAATTAACATGTTTTAACGTAGTAAAATGAAAACATTGAAATTGCAATTAATTATAAATAGTGCACATCAATCACAGGATATTTAATCCTGTATATTCTATAATGTAATTCCTCAAAAGAATCATGTAGCCCATGCATCTTTAAAATTACCTCCGCAACATGAGTGGCTGTTTCCCTGCCCAATTTAATCCAAGCAAACCTCGTCTTTAATCTGTGGCCCCCGCACCTGCACATGATGTAAATACAGTAATCCAGATTAAAGATGAGATTGACACACTGGTACCTACCAGAGGAGAGAGTCAGGAGGATCATGATTGTCTCAGGTTCACAGCAAAACAGCTAAAAGATTAAAAAGATATACATCACTTACATCATATTGAACTGTGAAGACAAAACCTTTTCAGTGGCTGCTCTGCATGAAACATTTAAATAATAACCATCACGAGGTTGTTGGTTTTGGCAGAGTTTTATATACACATGTAAATATCAAGAAGGACATTTTGGTTTTGACTGGTCCTGCTGGTTTCAGGTGCTCAATTTAAATTGAATTCAAATGGGATTTAAATAGTCTTATTTTTCGTTAAAGCATTGTTTGCGAGTTCCTGTATTGTGTTAACATGAGATCTCAATGACACAGCCTGATTAAATAAAGATTATTTCAAAGTAACCCATCTCATTTTAATCGATATTTTCAGGATTAACCCTCTACCGCATCAGTACATCTCAAGTTAACTGAAGGGCAGCCATCTTTAACTGTTTATTTATTTTTAAAATAAATCTTTACGTTTGATTGAACATATAAACATTTCAGCACATGACAACGAAATCCTGTTTGCATCTCCTTCTCCGTGGGCATGTGAAACTGGAGATGTCGTGGTCTGAGGGCTCCAGAAATTGACTCATTCTGAAGTAATTAGGTACAATTCTGTCAAAAACAATAGAAAGACAATCTCTGATGAATAAACTGTTTAATTTTTTAACTTCAAAACCAGTTTAGAATGGTTTAAGATAAGTTCTTCGTCAATTTGTTTCCATATGAAGGTGACCTGGGTGCATTCAAGCTATTGAACTGAATTACATGGCACAAGGTTACACAAGGAGAGTTTATTTAAAACTTTTCACATTTATAAAGGTAAAAAAAAAACATCATCACGACTTTTTAGGACCATTATCTGGATTGTAAATGACACTAACAACATGTTTCTGTCTCTGTCATTTCTTATTTAAACAACAAAGGAGAGAGTACTCAGTGATTTCTGTTCTTTAGCCCCTGAGACCAGCTGCTGTTTGACTCATCCTCAGCACCAGTCCCACTTTACTGCAGCACCGACATCCATCCTCACAAAACCATCACCGGAGGCAGGAGATGCTAAAACAGCTGATCAGGAAGAAACAGGTGTGTGTGTGTGTGTGTGTGTGTGTGTGTGTGTGTGTGTGTGTGTGTG